CTGTGTGCTGCTTCAGTCCCCAACCATCATGCTTATAAGGTGCATGCTTCCAAAATATATAAAATGTGCACACAGGCCATGTAGCAGCCTCAGGATGGGAAAGGATTAGGAAAGGACTGCACCACACAGCTCTAGGAGACCTGGAGCAATGCAAAGGAAACAGGTTTTATCTGATACTGCTAATGTTTGTATTTCAAATCACTCTGACCATCTATCTTGCCTGTAATCATTTACAAGTGATGCCACTACCTGGGGTTTGTCACCTGACATGTCATTCCTCATGGCACCATTGTGAAAAATCTGTCAAACAGGAAGATTCAAAAGGAAAATGTCGTACCTGTAAGGCAGGGAGTTAGAAAGGAACAGGAGACTTGCAAGGCTGAGACCCATCTGTAACACCACAACGGAGGGATTTCTCTTGTTCATCACATTTTAGGCAGTTTACATGACAAATGCATGATACATGTATGAGCTAACTAAAAGTCAAGCTCTGCTTTTGGCTACATTGGTGAAGATCCAGTGGATATTGACTGTTCTTGGACCTGCACTCATGTAACTAAAAGGAAGATTTGGCCAAATAATTAATCAGGTATGCTGTTCCCCACAGAATAGTCACAAGCAAATGCTGTGATGTCCTGAGTTTTGTCACAGATGGAAAAAACCCCTACAAACTCTTCAGGATCATGTACTGCAGGAGACAGAGGAGCCCTGGGACAACTGTGCTTTTTTAATGCCTGAAATATGTGCATCTCATACAAGCAGTCATCAGCACAAAGCTTCCCAGCTGAAGCTGCTGCAATGTATGAACTCATTAAACTGATTTTTTTATCTATGATTAAGATTCTCAGGTACCATTGTCATCCTTTTTGCTCCTTTAATAAACACAGCCTATCCATGCTGTATGAAAACAGCAGCAAAGCAGGTCTTTCTGTGGAACTTTAATGACATGAAATCTCAGCTTCAGTCAATTTGATGAGGATAGAATGTGAAACTGCCTCCCGGGTGCAAGACAATTATGCAGATGAAAAAAACCTTTGCAGGAAGATTCACAAGAGTGCAAAAAACACCATAAACCTGTCAATCTATAGACAGACAGACTGGACTTTACAGAGAAGGGTCCGTTTCAGGCTTCCATTACCAATTTGTTAAATACTTGGATGGGTACATTAGTTTCTTCCTCTCTAATAAAAGCAAATTTAGTTGGTAATATTTTTCAGTGTCTTTTCCCATGGATTTGAAGGGTGTCACCACAGTGGTTTCTCCCAGAGCACAGATAAGCATTCTGCTTTTATGCAATTCAGATTTTTGGACTCAAAGGACTCACAAGTTTGAAAACTGCTAGGAATTTGCATTTTCAGATGCAATTAATAGGATCTATTGGTGTGTAGTGCCTGTAGAATGTGGGCTTAGGGTGTCTCAGAACGCCTACTCAAAATAGGAGCCCTCCTGCAGCATGAATGCTTCAGTGAGTCATCCCAGATAAAAGAGCAAGTCAGAAAGTGAGGCAATGCAGAAACCAGATCTTCTGACTCCCGGTGTCTGGTTCCAGTGATGAGATTATAGCGCTCCTCAGAAAGCCAGCCGCCAGAGGAGTGACCTATTTTACCAACGTAGGTCACTGCCATTAGCTCAGTAGTTATTGTTCCGTTGTTTTAATTAGTGCCATTTCAAGTAAGTGGCCAGCTCTGGGGAAAGGTCAGTACCTTTCTAAACTCTTCCTCCGTAAAAATTACGTTGCTAGGGAAACAATACCCGAAAAGTAATTGATTCTTGTTAGACCTCCAAATCCAACATGCAGTTGCTTAGCTGCTGGCCAGGCACATCTCAATTGAGAAGGTGACTCACACCATCAACGTAGCTCAGAGCAAACACTGTTCAGCCCTGGCCTAGCCAAGTATGACAAGTACAAACGTGTTTTGAAACAATACCAGATGTTAAAGACAGGTAATTCTAAAGGGGGGGAAAGGGCAATAAATCCTGTTCAGGAAGAATTGGGATTCTCTGTTAAAATTCTCTCTATGATACATGTGTAGGTACACCACATGATCCCCATAAACATGAGCAGGCTTACACAGTTAACTCCTCTGTCACACCGAAAATACAGCTGCTTGAGATTCATGTTGATGTGCCACCCAGGTAGCAGGATAGAGTTGTCACTATTTCTCCTGTAAAACACAGTCCTTATTAAAATGCCTGTCATATTAAATTGTCCACATCGTTAGTGACAAAATAAGCTTTTAAAATGGAATATAGTTGATATCATATTCAGTCTGGATTTAGTGGCAGAGCTTGGATCATTAGTGGTCAACATTGCTGTATTAAACTTGATATACAATGTGACTGCTCAATGCATATGGCTGGAAAACATTGCACATTACCATGTTACAGCATGGGGGTGGAACCAGATGATATTTAAGGTCCATTCCAACCCAAACCATTCTATGAAGTATTATTTATTACTCATATATTGGACTCAAATGGTTAGCCAAATAAAAAAGACTCAGAATAAAAGACTCAGAATTCCTAGACTCAGAATAAAAGACTCAGAATTCCTAATGGTATTTATAGAAGTAACTAAATAAGGGAGGACTATAAATCCTACTACTTTCAGTAGCATATGCTGTATGTGGATGTGTACAATTTCTAAACACTATCAGCATCACAAAAACATCTAGAAATATTATCAGTATGCAGACATTTAAATCTAAAGATGCCTAAGTGGGTTATAAGTAAGTCTTGTGGTGGAGTCTTTGTTTTCTGGTAATACAATCTTACTGCAGCAGTGCCTAAATGCAGACACTTTCATGACAGGACATGAAAGGCATTTACAAATCAGTGTACTTACGTATGTGTTGCATTTTAAACACTTAAATAGTCCTGTTCTAAAATCCTGTTTTAATACTTAAAATTAAGCCTACTTTAATACATTTTGCTGGATAAAGGTCTAAAATCAGCGACATTTTTGCATTTGCATGAATTAGTGTAGAAGAATAATCTATTCACTTGAATTTACAAAGGGGTTTTAAGTTCTTAGCTGTATAATCTTATTCTAAAAACTGTGCCTCTTGCAACAGAGGAACCCTTATATTCCTTCTGGAATACTAATATGATACTGATTCAGGATAAAAAATAGTATCTTAAGCTCAACTGAAAGGGATGTTTACAGTCCTTTCAATAAGCTTTGGATCAAGTGATTAGTGAGGCATCAATACCACCACTATAATTCTGGCATGGCTTTTTCTTCATCAGTATGTCTGATCCCGCTTGTAACCCAGCCCTGACCTGGTTAGCTCAGGGCATAGAGCAAGGTTAGAAATCACATTAAAAGGACACGTATCAAATGAAAAGAGTTTTCACCAAAAAATAAAACCAACTCTGATGTGATGTAGAATTGCCTGGGTGCAATCAGGCAGGGTGCCAACAAGAACTGCTTACATTTTCATTTTATGTAAATAACAATATAGAGGACTCGGGCAGACAGGATTATGTGATTTCTTGTCAGATGGCAGGCAGAATCACTTATGGTGATCTGCCATGGAGAGAGATGTGCTTGCTAAAAACCTGATCTTTAGGTTTCAGTGCTGGGTATCTTTCGGATGGAAAAAGATGCTCCTGTTTGATGGATAAAAAGTTGGCCTTACACAGAAGATACAATCTAAAATTTACTTGCTCTATAATACCTATTTTGCAACAGTTACCACATGTCATACAATTTTATCTGTTTATATAGAGAGAATATTGACAATTCAAAACCAAGTCTTTCAAAAATACCCCACCAGCTGACATCTATCAAATTTTGGATCCATGTTTAATTGAACCTTAAAAAAGAAAAAAAATATGACAAAGGAAAAGAAAATTCTACACCATGTCCATAATATGACTGAGGAAAATGGCACTGTATGATGGTCTGTATTTAGAATTATAGAATCATAAGAGTGGTGTGGGCTGGAAAGGACCTTAATATCATCTAGTTCCAACCCCTGCCACAGGCAGGGACACCTTCCACTAGAGCAGGTTGCTCCAAGCCCCTGTGTCCAACCTGGCCTTGAACACTGCCAGGGATGGGGCAGCCACAGCTTCCCTGGGCACCCTGTGCCAGCGCCTCAGCACCCCCACAGGAAAGAATTTCTTTCTTTTATCTAACATGAACTTCCCCTGTTTAAGTTTGAACCCATCACGCCTTGTCCTATCACTACAGTCCCTGATGAAGAAAACATATTTAGAATAGGTATTTGTGAATATCTATAAAGTTTTGTATCACAAGAACCTTTTTTTCCCCACACAAGCATACAATGCTTGTATCTAAAATGTCCCTCTTGATTAAAAGGTACTTTTACTTTCAAATTAGTCCTGAAATTTGCATTGAGATACATTTTCTAGGCTTCTAGAGCTGTATACATGGCAACGGCTGTCTACTGGGTTTTTGGGTAAATGCTTGACTTCAGCAACTTTGAAAAAATGTGTTTTAATCAGTTTGATTTGCATATCTATTTCATCTAAAGATAATTTTAAACCTTTTATTAGACTTCTTTTCCAATGAAGCCATATAAAATCCAGACAGATAAGTAGGTTCAGATAATATTTTCCCACCAGGATGAAGCACGTATTTCATAGTGTTGTATGCTTTCTGAAGTTAAACCCTTTATTGCTTTCATCTGAATAAATCACTACAGATATTTTTATATTTTGTGACTTATGTGACATAAATAATTAGAATATACATGCAGAATTTACTGTCTTTATGAGTATTGGCTCTATTTGGTACACCTATTGTCATGGTTTAGTCGTTAATTTTTTTAGTAAGATTTATCAAAGTTCCATATAGCTGTTTGTTTGTTCTCTTAGTGCTGGCTCTGCATTAATTCTTCAGAGGCAAGGATGAAGACTGTTCTTTTAGATTTCTCCTTACTATTCAAACCAGTGTTGCAAAGAATTTAGTATAGATTCTGCATCATATCTGTTGAAGAATAACTGGGGTTTTGGTTTACCTTGATTTCTAGAAAACTTAGATACAATGATAGCTGAGCAGACAAAGAAGAAGCTTGAGAACCCTTCCATGAAAACCAGAACAAAGCTACCAGCAGGTACTTATAGTTTTCTCTCCTGGATAACACATCTTTTTAACATATTCAGTTAAAAGCATGCTAATTGCTTTAGAAGCCAGACTGCCAGTTAAAGATACAGTCCTTCAAGAACCTGTAGCCACAGCTTGGATGTCTAAACACACAAAAGAGGAATTTTTAGTTATTTATCCAATTTTTGAGAAGTATATTCAGTGTTTTTTCTGTGGAATGCAGACATTACATACAGAAGCAAGCTGTATCAATGCTTTTTAAGACTTAAATAATAAAAAAACCAATCTTTGTCAGCTTTGGATATAGTGAATGCAAATTTCTTATTTTTCTGTACGCAAAGTAATGTGTCTTTATGAACTACGTATTATTACATTTTAGTCACATGTGTTCAGCTACTGTTTGTAAGAGCAGAAACAGACATTCCCGTTTCCAGAGAGCTGGGGTATAGATGACCTTTAGAAACCACTCGGAGCCACTCCAGTGAGGTTCTTCCTCAATCATTAGTCAGAATATTTTACTTCCTAGAGATTATGTTGATGTGATTTAGAAGTGCTTTTAACACATTTGATACAAACTTGCTCTTACTGTTATTTCTTTAGACAAGAGTAGTGAAGAAGCAGACAGTACAAAAGAAGCAGCAGCTAAAATGGAAAAGGAATATGAAATTTCAAAGGATTCTACAAAAAATGAAGAACAAAATGCAGCAGGAAACAGTGAAGAGCCCAGAGGTACAAAATAGTCATTGCTTTTGGTACATGTGAACTCTCCAAGTGATTGGAATATTTTCCTCTCTTTGGTATTGTTTTTCCATTATGTTAGCATAAATATCTGCAATTTGTGGTTACCAGGGATCAGCACACAACAGCTTGATTTGGAAGTGTACTTATTTGCTTACTTTTAAGTATATGAAATTCTGTTCTTTGCTGAGTAAGGCCGTTACCTGTTACAGAATTCATAGCCCCTCTTGAGAGCAATACGAAGTTCAGAGAGATTTTGCTTCTTCACATCTGTGGTTTTTCAGTGAAATAAGATGATGAGGATATTCAATGTTCTGAGTGAGCCCACTGATTTCTCTAGTTTATATCAGAACAAGCTGTTAATGAAAGGTACTGAAAAGTTCTGCAAAGTGACACAACTTGCCAGAGGTTAAGGGTCATCAGCAACTAACATGTTTTGCATAACTTTGAAAAAACTATTACAGTGAGTTACTATCTCAATAAGAAAACTTAGCACCGTAGTAGTTTTAGTATCATAGGTGCCTTAGCAAGATATATAACGCCGGGTGCCATGCTACATTAGACTGTACTAGCTGAAGACTCTTCGTCTCTGCAAATCGGCTGCTCTATTTCAAACCAAATCTGCAGAGGACATTGTGCCTCCTCATAGCAATGAACTTCTGAAGGAGGATGTTTGTTGGTGCAGAAGCCTTTCAGTGAGCTCTTATTGATAAGGATCCAGCATAAGCATCTGTATTTTATACTCACGTGGTTAAAAAAGTGCTTATAATTTATTTTGCACTGATGCTGGTTTATGCTTGTACTTTTTTGGATGCATGTTTTCACAGCAACATGCTCAGTAATGAATTGCAGTAATCAAGGCTATAGTAGGTTGTAGCTCATCAGTCACCTGCTTCAGTCCTGTGGGCAGTGCAGACATCTGAAGTATCAGCCACTCACAGATGGAAGGTGGCTTTTTTTCCAGCAATGGTTAAGCATAGAAAATAGCTCCCTAATTTCACACTAAAGAAAAAATGTCACCTGTTGGAAGTGAGAAATAGCATATTTCTCTTGTATGTAGAAGATGTGTCTGTTCAGTTTGGTTCAGGTTATTTTTCTTTACCTTCAGAGAAACATTCAGCCCAATAGCTTTCTAGCAATTTAAATTGGATCCCTATTTAGTTCTTTGTCTCATCATGAGCCCTTTGCTCTTTCAGAGTAACTTACTATAAGGCTAATCCTGTGCTCCCAGATGAAAAATCATGGTATATCTAATATCCACTTACTAATGGGACCAGACATGCATACTTGGCAGTAGTAGCCTTCTGCATGCTAATCACACCAGGGTTGTTTTTTTTAACCCTGACAAATGTAAGAACATTACATCAATAAAGCTCCAGCCAAGTTAAGAATTCAAAACCCATTAGCTGGAATATTTCCTTAGGGGCCTTATTAGGTAATCCTTGAACTAATTCTGCCCTGTGTGCTTTCTAGTCCAAAATAGCCATCGCTTTAAAATTTCAGCTATAACAAGGAGTTATCATGGTACATCCTGTATCTCAGTAAATTAGAAGTAGCTGTGTTTCAACTTGTCTTTCCAAAATACCATAATCTTAGATTGGCTACATGCTGTTAGTACTCTGTATGGAGGAGTTCTCTGACACTTGTGTATGAACAGATTCTCAAAGCTCTCAGTTTTATTTAAGTCATTCCTTGCTGTCTTAACACCTTCATCTTTGCTGAACAATTATGATCAAAAAGTTGCAGGTTTCTTTTGATCCACATATGCAGTATCTGTGCATATCACCAAAAGCTATGTATAAAGATCAAAAAAGCCATGATCCTGAGTTTGTGGATGACTCATCTTGCACAGACAAAACCTGCTAGCCATCTGTGGGACTTTTGCCTGACTAAGCTTGACAGGACTCAGCTTTTAAACAGAAACTAAGAATAGTTTTAATCTGCCTTTGCTGTGCCCAGTTAAACAGGCTGCATTATTCATTGATCTAAGTGCTCAATTTCTCTCTCATCCTTCCCTCTAGGGAAAGCTGAGGCATATTTGGAAGCAATCAGGAAGAACATAGAATGGCTGAAAAACCACAACAAACAAGGTAACAAAGAAGGTATGACACAAAAAGCCTTGACACTGGGGTGGGCACCATACATATTACAAAGCATGTAATTTAAATTGTGTTGTATAACTCAGCAGTATGCTTCAAGTTAAATAATAGTAAAGTGAAACTGTGCTTGTCTAAGTTATAGTGACAATTAGTGGTGTTGTTAGAGTTAAATAATGCAAGTCATGTAAAAGTTAAATCAATGTATGAAAATAGTAAACTAAAACAAACTTATGCAAACTGGCTTGAACAGCCCTTGGCCACAAAACAGACTCACCAGCTGTCCAGGTAGTCCTGGTGGTCTGCTATCACTGGGAAACAGGACATCAGTTTTGTCTAGTGCTTCATTTCTTAGTTCAATACATCTTTCAACTACCATTTTATACGTGAAATAAATGTATTTTAAATGTCTGGATGTGTCTCGTATAGTGCAGCATATCTGGCTAGCACTGTGCATGCCATCACAAAGAGCAGCAAGTTTTATTTTGTTACCATAAATAGTTAAGATACAAGTTTATGTCACTAACAGTGTAATACATTGGATTACAGCCCAAATCAACCGTAATGACTTGTAGCTCTCGCACACAAAGCTGTATAGAAGAGGAGCAGTGACTGAAGCAGCTGCACAGGGTATGCTCAGCAGCTGCTCCACCATTTGACTTCCTCAGAGGCAGGCTATACGAGAGCTGGAGGGAGGATTCCCATCTTACTTTTCAGATCTTTATTTATCCACATGATTTTTGCCCTCAAGATCTTGCTTAAAACCAGCCTCCTGCTCCTTTTCTTTGCCATTGCTGCATCTTCTGGCATCACCCTCTCTGTAAGCGAAGGTTTCTAGCCAAGGGATCAATCCTGGGGGTATGACTGGCGCCTGGCAAGAAGGATCCTTCTTGCACCAGCCAGGCAGAGGGAAATCTGAGATGAGATTAGCCCTGGGTAATCTAGCCACCCTCTCTGTGAATTGAGCTCCATATGAATTACATTTCAGAGATGAGTGCATGCCTACAGCCCAACACATTCATTTGCCTATACAGAAGCCTCCTTAATAGGAAGGACTTTCTAAAAATTTTTCCATCTCTCAAATTATCTCCACACCATAGCAGCAATGGCAATTAGCAGCAGCGTATCTATTTGCTCAAGAGTTTTCCTGCCAATTCTAATATATGTTTCTGTTTATCAATGTACTCATTATAGTAATTAGATCTCAGTCATGTGCGATTATTTCTCTGTACCACACATGCTGACTGAGCAGCTCCTCACTCCTCTTCATAGTAACCTCTCCTCTGCACTGCTGCAGTGTGAAAGTGGCTGTGACTGCAGATCAATAGCATTTTATGTGCCTGTGAATGCATTAAGATAGATGCTTGCTGCGTAGATGGATTTTCATTTGCACTGAAGTATCTTTATTGCCCTCTGGCAATGGAAATGGCCCTGAAAGTAAGTGTAAGTTATGACAGAACAGCGTTCTGGCTCTTCTGTTACATTGTCTTTATTGTGCATTTCTATACATTTTATTTTTGTAAAATGCTAATTCAGTTCTCCTGGGATGATGTTAAAGGAAGTATAGGCAGGGTAAGCTTATCTAACCGTGAATGCATTGTGCTGCATTTCTTCCATACAAGATTAGGTTGTATTGATGTGTTCATCAATCATTTTTGCACTTCTAGCTACCACCTGGGAACTAGCAGAAAAGTGATTCACAGGAAATTTATGTATTAGAAAGGCCAGTCTTTTCCACACCTGTTCATGGATTGTTTTGCTCACCAAATATACTTGAAGAGGTTTAAGTTTTCTTCAGGCAGGTATCTGTAGAAACTTGATTTTGTATGAATTTCAGTAGAAATTGTAGTTCATTCAATGACTGATGGCCCTGGAAATGTTAATTTGCATTTAGCCACTTTAAAATTATCAACTTCCTGTTAAGGAGGCAAGTAAACTTAGCAGTCTGTATGATTTAAAGAGAAGCTTGTCCAAAGCCTAGATTTCAGCCTGATTGGCTTTTGTGTCCAAAGTTTGTTTTTCATATATACAATCTATAGGCTCTGTGGGCCTGTCCTAAGTATCTCCCAGACATGGCTTTATCTTTGAATCCAGTGCTCTTTAAAACCAGCTCCTCTCCTGTGTAAATTAACATCAGTAGGCATTGGCTGCTGGGTGTCCTATTGCAGTTAGTCTCTAAAGAACATAACTGTGAGTCACCCAGTTAATGCATGCAAATAGCAGGTTCAGGTTTTTCACAAAATACTTAGGTAGTTTGTATAGTTTCATAACACTAACAGTAGCCATTTAGGAATGAAAGTTAATTCTATAATTAATTGCAATGGCAAGCGGCTTGTTCTGAACATGCAAATAAGAGTTCACTTCATTTACTGTAGCAGTTTTACAGCAAAATGTAGTGTTGCAGCTGTTGTGGTGAATATAAATCAAAGCTGATTTTTCTAATTACTTGTAAAAATTAATAGGTTTAAAATAAGTATTAGAAATTAACTTTTATCAATTCATAGAAAAAATCCAATTAAATTGCCATGAGATATAAAAATTAGCCAGAATTAGATAATATCATAATGGTTATAATCTCAAAATGTTCAGTAATTAAACCTTCACATGCCCGCTTAATGATCTTAGAGTTGCAAATACTATTCTAGAAGAAAAACAAGCTCAGAAATGTTAATGCAAATAATGTGGATATTATGTTAATTTAGTATTTATTCTTCAGTTCATTTCCATTCCATGGTGTTTTTCACTGGAGACTCTCATTCTGTCAACACGAATGAAATCTCCCAGCCTTAATGATAAGTTGCTAGGTACCGTTTGTCCCTGTTACTCAGACAGGATGGAGAGACAAACAGGTTACATCCTCTTAAGTAGTGCCAGTAACAGACCAGATGTGAAATCCTGGGCTCAGAATAGCAAATGGCAAAATTCCTGTTAACTCAGATATGGAGAAGGCACCTCTGCAGGAGTGGGGAGTTTTGAATATCAATTTTCTGTATTACTCACTTGAAATTGCCTTATGCCATTTTAAAAATGATGGCAAGCATTAATTTGCTTCTTAATGTCTTTCTATTTCTATCCAATTTTGGTCACTCAGCTATAAAAAGACAGAAAGTCATTATTGCCTGCTTATTTAAGAATGTATAGTTTGAAATAAGGTCCTACCACTTATTGCCATATGATGATATACATTGGACTACATCACAAAATCCATATTAATATAGTCTGAAGGTTCTATCCATGAAATAAGTAATTCATACTGAAAAATTCAGGCTGCATCTATTTTTGTGAAAGATATGAATTCATTTAACTTAGTATGGAACCTTAAGACAAATATTTTCCACACTACTAACTTGTGCTTCTAACAAATTAAGCTTTACATTTGCAGTAAACTGTGCAACTGAAACTTGCATCATGTTTCTGTACAAATATACTGGATCTGTTCCCAGAGTTATGACTACACAATAGGTTACCTTTCTATGTTATTTAAAAGATTGCTTTACAGCAGAATTCTTTTCATGGAAAATAGTGATGTTTTCTGGCATAGGAAAAGGCTAGTTAATGCATGGATGCTGCATAGCAGCACTCATCTATTGGAAAATGAGGAAGGATCTTTCAACACGGTATTGCAGATTGACATACAAAGACTGTCAGAGACTCCTTTGGCTCTGACACTCTCAGAAAGATTACTCACTGCAGCACTTTCCATGTCAGGATATTATGTTCTGTATCAAGGTAAGCATGTTCTTTATTTCCAGGATGTTGTTCTTATGAGTTTTCACTACAAGTGTTTGTAGTAAGTGGGAATTTTACTGGGATTTCTTTAGGAAACAATCAGTTTAACACTTTCTTTTGAATCCATGACAACTGTGAAAATAGGGTTTTAACAACAGTTTTTGCCATACAGACTAGAACATCAAATCTCTGGACCAGAAAATATAATGCTTATTCCTCTTCAATACTAGAAGCTCCATGATGTATAAAAAGACTTTATGCAGTGGTGGGGTTTTCTACATTATTTTCACAGGTTGCACTTGCAGTGAATTCTCTTCACATTGGATAAAGTGCATTTCTTGGATAAACTTCACAATGACATTGTTTCTTAGGTGAAGCAGTGTAATGGCACTGACTCATTGTACAAATGAATTCTTATTTTTCAGACTATGATCTTTCAAAGCTGAGAGATTTCATTGACGAGCAAGCCGATGCTTACGTGGACAAGGGCATCCTGGACAAGGAAGAGGCTGATGTAATTAAACGCATATACAGCAGCCTGTAAAAAGCTAGTGGCTGCCAAACATGTAGAAAACTAGGATAGTTTCCCTCACTCCCAGCTCAATGAGTTATGATCTGTTAATTTGAGGATATCATTAGAAATGCTCTGTTTACATTGTACTGACAACTTTCTAGACAAATGAAGAGCTGTAGTGCTCCCTACACTGATTGCATACTGTATTTTCCTACACTCAAATCAACCCTAAATGCCAAATTCTGACACTGAATTTCTATTTGATGGGGCAAATACTTATGTAACGTTCTCTTTGATTTATTGTTTGTGTTTGGTTTACTTTTGTAGATAAACCAATTGTTTGTGATGGAAAGTTCTTTTAATGCTACTTCTTTTTGCTCTCACTCCACTAGCTTTCTATAGATGCAACTATGTAAAGGGCATTATTAGAAGATAGTTCATAGTTCTCTAAATAAAATATTTGAAAATAATTCACCTATTAAAGTCTTCATTAATCTTAATATTTTATAGCCAGAATTCTTGGTTTTAAATTCTCATTTTTCCTTGACCCTTTTTTATTTCTTTATGTAGTATTCTATAACGTGGACTATTGTATCCTTAGCTCACTGATAAATCTTTGACACTATACTGCCTTTCCCATTGTAGAGCTGTATTCCCCCCACTATTCAGCATGTATAAACATTCTCTTTGGTGTGCCATTTGATGCTTGTGCATGCATAATTAGTTGAATTCCTGATGTGAGTAGCCTGAAAACAAGTATAAATAGCCCTTACTTTCTTTAAACTTTAAAAAAAAAAATAAATAGAAAAGCAATTTTGCATGGGAAGGGGAGTTTGCAACCAGGGATGTTCTTAGGAATATGGACCCTGCTTTTCAGAAAGACATAACTTAAAGAGCGCATCATATCTCAGCATCTCTGTTCACTGACTTCTGATCTGTGTGGAACAGTATTAGTTCGGAAATTATTTTTTTTTTCATATATATATACGCTATCATTAGCCAAGAATTCGGTAACTCCCGAAGAATGAAAAAGCTCAGCTTTATGAGATTATGAGATCTTTTATATTTAAGTGAACAGATAATTTTATGTATGAAGATCTTAAGCAGCAAGATCACAGGTGAAGAAGTTTTTAGGAAAGTAAACTTTAAAACAAGTTGCAGAAAATGTAAGTCTGAGACCGATTTCCTGCAGCAGTCATTTGTTTAAATGAACTCCAGGAAAGACATTTCTGCTTTCTTTACTTAAGAGATTCTTCGTTGACCATTTGAGGTTATCCCTCCTCTGTGTTTTTAAAAAAAAAATCTCATGATACCTCTGAGATTGATACAGTCAAAAAATGTTAGCTGATGCAGACGTTGGTATCTGCCTGCCAGTGAAGGGAGATGCTGACTTACAGCATCGTCCACACAGCACCAAGTTCTGTAAATGTTAAATCATTTTCTTATGTCATCTCCATCATTTTCTCAGCACAGCTGGAGATTAAGGAGGAAGGGATTTGAGCAATGTTTCTCAGCCAACTGAAGTAAACTTTGGAACCCCTACAAAACATAATTACGAACTGAACATTATCAACAGAACATGATTGGTAACAAATATAAAATGAATGGGGTAGCAATAAGGTGTAACACATCTATTTGAAAACTGATGACACATAAGCCAATTAATGCTTTCTGGCATACAAAAAGTACGTCACTGCCTGCTCATACATGTCCTGATATGGATCACTAAATTGCAGTATTAGTCACTCACAGCAATACTTTAATGTAAAAACTGCATCCAGAAATGTAGTCAGTGTAACCTTCCTGTTTGACAAATAGTCCCTTAGAAACTCTAGAGAAAATTATGGATGAAAAATCTCGTTATTTTGAATCAGTGTAGTTGTCATCTAAACAGTCTTTGTTGTTGTTATTATTAGCTAATGTTCCCCAAGATCAGAATTTCTTCTGTCCCTCTAGATCTCAGTTGTTTCCTGCAACTGTTTGTGATTTAGTTTCTTATGTGACTGTCACACTGGAAAAGTGGACTGTTGCCCAAATCTGGCTTTATGAAAGAAATCAGGAGAAAGATGACTTACCATAGACCATTACCTCTCAGGAAGTGGTAGTGATCTACGAGCTGCACTTAAGAAACAAAAAGGACACTTTCCCTCTCCAATGGCTACTTCAGGAAAAAAAAAACCAAACCCAAACCAAACAACTTTGGTCTCTCAGGAGCCTCATGTTAATGGAAAGATTCCATCAGCTAGCAACCTGTGATTATGAACAGTTCATGTCCACAAAAAGACTGATGCAATATTTTTTAACCTTTGCAAAGCATAGATGACAT